GGATTGGGAGACTCGATAAGGTTGAGCTTTGGGTCATCAGGGATAGCTTCCTTACGACCTTGTTTGACACGATCTTGTTTGACACGCAATGGAAAACTAAAACCGCCTGGAAGGAGCTCAATTTTCTTTGTCCTCTGGATCGTCAAACTGTTGTGTTCAACATGGTAGTCTAGTGCTTCCAACTTAGCAACTAGGTACTCCCCACGCCACTTGTGTCCTGGCTGTACATGATAACCAAGAAACACACCTTCCACCGAAGTAGGTGACAGCTTTCCTGCTGTATTGTCGGCTCGATTGGGGTTATTCCAGAATAGGACTTTTGCACCAAACGGAATGGCCATGCCTTCGAACATTTCTCCAAAACGCAATTCCCATGGGCTTGGAGATGAGTCCAGCTGATCACTCGTGTTTGTTGCCATTGCAAAATGTTGAATGGCGAGTGGCCAGTACTGGAGGGGCATTCCGGACTGAACAAGATTGGTGCATGCTCCCTCAAGCATGTTCCTAACTTCCCTTTCGATGAAGCTCTTGGAGGAGTCCACGTATTCAACGGAGGTTTGGTGGCGATACCCTAACTCCTTGATACCAGCTATCAGCTCACGGGAATTGTCGGTGTAAATGACCTCGACTGCATCATCCGGGGCAACAAAATGCTGAAGAGCAATCACTACCTCATCCGAACTCTTTGACTGGGATGGGTAAATACTCCGGAACTTTGTATGCAGGTCTTTCACAACCAAAGCTACCCGTTCACCACGACTCCCTTCTTCGATGTTCGCGCGCACGACGACGTGGTCGGCGATCAGATGATCACCAAAAGCCTTAGTCTGAATGCGGCTCTCACCCCCTTTCTTCCGTGCCTGTGGTGCAAGCATCCTTGCTCGCTGGCACACTTTGCAGAATGGGTTCTTGGGGAAGTGGTGATACTGGTGTTTTGCGGACTGTGCTTCACGCATCAAGTCTCCAACTTTTCTTGATCGCACCAAACGGCTCTCTTCGTCGTCTGGCACTTCCTCGTCGATGCCCTCATCCTCTTTCTTATCCGACGGGCTCGAGATTGCTCCCGGCATAGCAAACAGCTTCTTCAGAGGCTTGTCCTTCTTGAACTTGCCCTTTCCAAAGACTTTGCACTCGGAGTCGAGGACGGGGACATGACCATCAACACGAAGTTGAACGATTTTCTCATCTGGTCGCACAAGGATCGGGGTACCGTTTGCTGGCCACACGAAACTATACCCTTGGTCAAGGCATTTGATGCCAACTGAGAGCACAGCAGGGCATTCATCCAGCAAATACGGCGTGCAAGGCTCCAGTAGCTGCTTCATCTTGACGTCAGCTACCTCACTGGCTTCAGTCGACCCATTCGCAGTAATGAGACTGATGGTGTGAGGAGCCCGTCTTGGGTTTTCCGCACCAGCAGCATCCATAACTTTCCTGCTGAGGAGATCTTGCTCACTCCCAGAATCGACAAGCCATGAGAACCTGCCTTCCCTTGGTGCTGGACCAGCAACGATAGTCGGGATGGTAGTAGGACATGTCTTCAACTTGATCAAGCTTCGGCACTCACGACAAGTAAGCGACGATTCGGTGCACAGAAAACGACATGAGGGCACTGTTGCGCTATCAAAGCTTCGAACAACTTCAGCCAACTGCCTAGCTTTTACTTTGGCCATGTGGGCTGCCTTTGGGTCGCTCTTGGGCACGCGATCGCTCGTGGCAAAATGCACACTGTACTTGCGCTCACGCTTGACCATCTTGCAATGTTCCCCGCGAGCAGGGATGGTGCGAATTTCAGGTTTCATAACGAATGTAGTTCTTCGGACAGACGACTTAGACCTCTTTCTCGCTGGAGGAAGACAGGACTTCTTGAGACATGACCGTCCGGGCACACCAGTCGCAAGACATGCAAACCGATTGCTCAGGCAAATGGCAGCCTTCTTGGTATCTCCTTTTGCCTTTGGCTTTGGGGAGTCCTTTCTTGGCTTCGTTTTCGGAGCCGGTGCTGCCTTTTCTCCATGTTTGAAAAAGCACTTGTCTCCTCTTCTGCATGTACCTTGTTGATCGTACCTGCATGGGGTCTTCGCCATCTCTTCCTTAGTCATCCGCTTCTTTTCCTTATCTGTGCTTTTATCCCTCGACTCATTCCGCTCCCGGGATGGTTGGCGCTTCTTGGAAGGATCACGCTTGGGCTTTTCATGCTTGAACTTGCAATCTTTCCCTTTTGCACACTTTCCCTCCAAAAAGGCCCAACAAATGCCCTTCTCCCGAGAAGCGGATCGTCCGCGCGATGGCGAACGCTTTCGCCGAGGATCAACAGTAGGGGCTGCGTTCTTCTCATGTCGATCACCTGGCTTGAGCCGATTTCGCTCCGCGATACGTGATCGATTCTCACGAAGGCGTTCTCGGTCTATCAAATCCTTGATGCTTTGCAGTAGGAATTTGTAAGACCGATGATGGTCACCTTCTTTTGCACGATCGAAGAGATCAATGTCGTACCTCAGGATTGCGCTAGTGCGGATCTGCCTTAAAAGGATGTCTCTAAGCACGTTTTCGTGTGGTGGTTCGGGCATACCAGCGATGGTAGCGTCCCAGCGGTTGATGAAGCGCTTCAAGTCCGCTACGGTATCGCCTACCTTTACCACATTGAGGAGATCTTCAACTCTATAGAGGCTACCCGCTTCTTCCGAGGTCTTGAAATAGTCATCGAACATGAGAAGAATCATCCTTCCTCGAACCTGGATGCCTAGCTTTGCCTTCTCTTCTTTGTAATTGATGATTCGGTTTGCTAGATCACCCTTTGCACTTCTGGTCAGCGCAGCTGCCAACTTGGTATCCAACGTTGTGAACTTCCCAGGGTTAGACAACCGCTCTTCCAGAACTTTTCTCTCATCAACAGTGTTGTAAACCTCCATTAACCAGTCCCAGGCAGCATCTGGTTTGTCAGAACATGACTTGATTTCGTCCCTCACATGATGTTTCCACTGCCGATAGGTTTCAGGGGTTGGCATGTCATTCAACTTGATATGATCTGCCTCCTTTACCTTTGGCTTCTCATCTGATTCTCTTTGAGTGAGTGACTTGACCAATTCAATCACCTGCTCAGAGGTGATGGCACCTGATGACGCTGGCTTATGGGGTTCGCGAATTGAAGGTGCAGGGCTATGGAACATATTTGTCGGTGTTTTGCCCCCATCCGCTGCTGTGCCTCCGTAAACTGGAAGCACGGGCTTGATAGGAGCAGCTGCCCCTGGTGGGGCATCACCGATGATGGTGGCCGTCGGCGCTTTGGGTGCGAACAGTCCACTCAAACGTGCAGTAGCCTCTGCTGCAATGGTCTCCAGAGGATTTTTCCTCTTTGTGTCATCATGCCTAGGGGTAGACACTGGTGTGTTCATGACACTTGTTGGATGGTACTCTAGCTCGGGTCCAGCATGCATTTTGGCTTTAAGGTCATCGAGCATTTGCTGCAGGCTATAGTTTTCATTTTCTGCGTCGCGTAGCTCACGTCGAAGCTGAGTTTCCCGCTCATCAAACTCTGCACGAAGCGTTGCCACACCTTGCTCGGCACCGCTAGTGATGGCAGTGACAGTTTGCTGACAATCGTGCATGAGCTGAATGCGCAAGGAGTCCAGTTCTGCTTTTCTGGCTTCAGCTTCGATGGACCTTTCACTCTCTAGCTTAAGGATTCGTGCTTTTGCAGCACTTAGTTCCCCTTGCACTTGGTTGTAGCTAGATTGAGCTTGTTGCCTTACCGAACTGAGTTCCTCATGATGCTTGCTCGCTACTTCATCGATTGCTTGACGAAACTTGGTTTTTGCCGTGTCCAGCCATTGTCCCATTATCTCTTTGTGTCTTCTCTCTGCCTCAGCAATGATAGCGTCTTCGTTTCCGTTGTACACCTGTTGAATGTTTTGCTGCACGAACTGAAAGTAAGCTGTGACAGGAGCTGAACCCATGGGGTCATCTAGATCCACCGTGGGCTCAGTCATGAGACCGGCTGGGACTGCTACCGATGATGTACCGTTCCCAGGAATAGCAAGAGCGTCCATGGCTGTGGTTAGAGCACTACGGCTGATAACCTATAGAAACAGCCGTTAAGCTGCAACTCCTGTTTTGGGCCGCGAGCTGCGAAGGTAAAGTCAACATGACATCCTACTATGTGCAAGGTACAAAATGTACATATTACATGGAGTGAAAATACAGAAAGGAAAAAGAGACTAGGGAAAGGATTACAGCAGCAGGGCGGGCGGGCAAAGGACAACAAAAGGATGTGTGCAACACATAATCCAAAAACTTGAATATGCGATGGGTGCCCTTTAAATAGTCTGCCCAGTGCATTGGCAAAAGTAGTGCAGATTTTTGTGGCGCTGGAAGGGCGTTGCAAACTACAAAAGCCACCGAGACACAAAAGGCACCACAAAATAGATCACCATCGAAAACTACACACCCCATTGCCTCATATTGCCTCATCAACTCAGAAAGTGACGCGTTTCGGACCAAGGCAACAGGATAGCGTTTTGTTTCGCGAACCTTAGTAACAAGTGCCTTACTAGTAGTAACAAGAAGCTACTAGGAACAAGTGCATCGCTAGTAGTAACAAGTGCCTCGCTAGTAGTAACAAGAAGCTTATGTTGGTGACCAGTACGCCACGAGGCCAGCGGACCAGGACAAGGACCGTGACCAGGGGACCAACGGACAGGACCAAAGGACCAATGGACTAGGGGACCTACTCAGGATTATGGTTGATTCAGTTGATTCTGTTCTTTTTGTTGGATCCTGTTCTTTTGTTTTTTTAATCCTGTCATATAGTGCTCTTTTGATCTAGATGCCCGCAGGACCCCCAGCACATGGCCTCAACATGTCAACAAAATTGCCAAAGGGAAGGATACTAAACAGGTTCTCCTCGACAAAAAACTCTACACAGGGTCTCGCAAAGAAAGAAAATGAAAGAGGATTGGAGAGACAAAAGAGCTTCACTGCGCTCAATTTGAAAGAGGATCTGAATGGGAAAAAAGGCCCACACATGTCGGTGTTGCACCAGTCTTGTACTCGTACTTGGTCAGAGGAGCAACCAATGACCCGATATTGCTGACAAAAGCCTTGGATAGCTGAAACATGCCCAAAACAAAGCCTTGGGCCTAAGGGCTTTAAGGGCTTAAACAGAAAACAGCATGAGTTCAAGAGTTTGAGGGAGGAAATGGAGCTCCAACACCCTGGATCCTTGAGCCAGTAGCTGCTCAGTAGCTGTCAATCAAATTGCTTAAAGCGCTCAATTTTGTTCAAAGTGACGGCCTCACCTGCTTGATACATCGCCCGCAGCTTGGGAAACTTGTGGTGAAGCCCAAAGCTCCGACAAGCTTGCGTGCTGCTGATTTCGAGCAGCTGGTTGTTGGAAAGTGCTGCAGGGCCCCTTACGGCCAAATATTCGTCGTGCAAGGCGCAGTTGATAGGAACCAGCAGGTTGAAGGAATCAGCCCCTCCATTCAAGTACAAATTCACGACAGCCTTCCAGCATAACCCAACTTAATACGGAGGAGCATGCTTCGATCGTTTAAGCTCTTGTCCTTGCGACTAGTAGCACGATGGAGGCACTTAATCTTCACTGCCAGTTACACCAAGTTACTTCATGTTACTTTTTCCTTCTTCTCCTACCCCGCCCCGGCCTACCTTCCCAAAATAGAAA